CGAGCCCGTAGGCTCGGCCAAAAATATAGCCTTTGAACCCGCCTAGACGGGTTCAGACCTTGTCTACCTCCCCAGACGAAACCTTGCCCTTCGGCAAAGCTTCGTCCGGGTTCCTCTCTGTGTTAGCAGAGAGTTTGACAGACGTCGCTTACAGTCAAAGACTGTATCACGACTCAGCTAGACTCGGAGGTCTTACCCTCTCGGTCTATCTGTCTTCCCCATGTCAACTGACATGCCACTATTTAAAGTCTTTGTTCACAGACGCAGACAAGTTCATCTTCCAGAGGGGTGGTAGGTTTCCGACACAACATAAATGGAGGCCAGAAGAGGGATAGTAAAATGACAAACATTGCTAAGAGCTACAAAGAATAGGAAGCTATGGAGAGCCATGATCACTCACGAACATGTCGAAGAAGCAATTAATTAACATCTCATAATTCCTAGTTGATTATTTTTCACTTCTTTGACTACGCCCAAATTCGGTCCATCATCCATTCTTTGACTACGCTTATATTGACCATCGCCACACAAGGCGAACATCTGTCTAGAAGGGCAATGACCCTCCCCTCGGTTTAAAATATCCCCAATGTATAAAGGCCTATCGCTTCTTCTTCTTCTTCTTCTATGTACCGTGTCCCTTCAAAACGTAAGCGATTATGGCTCTCCACAATTTCCTATCTTTTGTAGCTCTTAATAAATTGTGTCTTTTTCCTGTCTCCCCAAAGTACTGTTCTGCCATCTATTTGCCCAGGTTCGTTAGGTTATGTGTTGTTTTTCTTTGTCCCTCTTGCCTCGGCCCTGTGAATATCAAAATTTCCAAGCCCTCTTTCCTCATTATGTATACTAGAAATTCCAACTGTCTCTTTACTGATGTTATTTACAAGTGTCCTTTTAGTTTCCGCTTCCTCTAAAACTTGTCGTTGCTCTCATGCTCGGCCTATAGTATTCTGAGCATCCTTCTGTAGAACCACATTTTTGCTGCTTCAGGCCTCTTCTTCATCTGTGAGGAGATTGCCCAGCATCCATTGGTATATAAGAGCACTGATGCTGCATAACAGTTCAGTACTCTTTACTTTGTTTCTAACGAAATTTTTCTCTATCTTAATACTTTGCTTAGCTTTTGGAAAGGATCGTTCGCTATCACAATGCCCTTTCGAATTTCAGCGACGCACTTTCCGTCTTCCGTCTTCTGATAAAACACTTGCCAAATATTTAAACTGTTTGATTTCGTTATCCCCAATTTGTAATTTGCATTTTGTGCTGTCCCCTTTTGTTAACTACCACGCATTCTGTCTTCTTGCATTGAATGTTTAGTCCTTCCTTCTCGCTTACTATATCGTTATTCCCATGGCAATTGAGCTCGATACTTGAGACCCACCAGTTCAGACCTTTACAACTAAGATTATCCATGCTACCTCTACAGGGTCAAATGATCATCATTTCATCCATATTCCAACTAAAATGAGGAATTTCTTCTCAGTTTTTTTTTCCCTCGAAAAATTGCAAATTTGGAGAACAGGCTCCCACGTGGATACTTGCTTGAACGCTAAAATCTTAATCTCTTCATCTCTAGGGTTAACCATTATATATCTTCTCTTAATCTCCACTTCCTAGTTCCGTATCTTATAGTGATTTTCCAAGCGTAGCTTAGTTGTGGCACAAGGTCAAAGGTAGAGGGCACCCAGTGAGGATCGAACTCACTACTCAATCGTAATTGTTCTAGCGAGACAGGCTTACTAACCATTACACCGCCTCGAGGTGCCCAAGTGATTTTACAAGCGTAGCTTAGATGTTGCACAAGGCCGAAAGTATGGGGCACCCAGTGAGGATCGAATTCACTACTCAGGCGTAATTGATCTCGCAAGACATGCTTTCTAACCATTACACCACGTCGAGATGCCCAATAGTGATTTTCCAAGCGTAGCTTAAATGTGGCATAAGGTCGAAAGTATGGGACACTCAATGAGGATCGAACTCACTACTCAGTCATAATTGTTCTAGCGAGACGAGCTTGCTAACCATTACACCGCCTTTGCCTTGAAGGGTTCTTGAGGCTTGTATTGGGTAAACTGTAATTCCTGGTTTCAAGACTGGTTGAGTATCAATTCAAGATGACAAGCGATAAGGGCAATAAATAAAAAAAAAAATGCCAGAAACTGCTGATTAATGATGACCGTTAATTTAAAGGATGTATGAAATTTGTTATTTGCTGGAGTAATGATGGAGTTTATAATGTCGCTTCCTGGTATTTTTTTAATGCCACGTTCCTTCAGATTCTCTACAGATATCTTTTATTTTATCCGGGAATTGCCATGACTTTTTAGCAATGATAGGGGCGTAGTTTTCCTTTGCCTTAAACACGGTTTCGAATTCAAAGTAGTCCTTCTCAAAGATTCCTTCTTTTTTCTTACCTGAAAATTGCCACGTCTTCTCGGGAAAAGGGATTACTCCACGGTTTCGAATTCAAAGTAGTCCTTCTCAAAGATTCCTTCTTTTTTCTTACCTGCAAATTGCCACGTCTTCTCGGGAAAAAGGATTACTCCACGGTTTCGAATTCAAAGTAGTCCTTCTTAAAGATTCCTTCTTTTTTCTTACCTGCAAATTGCCACATCTTCTTGGGAAAAAGGATTACTCCACGATTACCCCTTCTCAAAGATCCACGGTTTCGAATTCAAAGTAGTCCTTCTCAAAGATTCCTTCTTTTTTCTTACCTGCAAATTGCCACGTCTTCTCGGGAAAAGGGATTACTCCACGGTTTCGAATTCAAAGTAGTCCTTCTCAAAGATTCATTCTTTTTTCTTACCTGCAAATTGCCACGTCATCTCGGGAAAAAGAATTACTCCACAGTTTCGAATTCAAAGTTATTGTTCTCCTCGGGAAACTGCCAGCCAAGGCCAGTGAAACTCGTCTACCCTGATATTTAACTAATAGACAGCAGACGAAAGAAAAGATGATTTAATCTTTTTCGCAGATGTTTTAATTTGAAAATGAAAACAGCTGACTACGTGGGAGTTTGAATTCGGCTCACTGATTCCGCTTACAGCGCCGATATCCGTTACACTAGCAACACATCCATTATAATCCGATGCCATCACGTAAATAAGTGCATCTCCAGTATAAACGTTATAACTGGTGCAACAAAGTTACAGAAATCTTACTACGTTGATAAGCTATTTCCCTAAGCATTTTATACGACACAAAGCTTAGTCTGACATAAGGCTACAAGTATGGAGCACCCAGCATGTTGAGGACTTCAAATATCTTAGCATGGGATACGTGTAACAAACTTTACAAAATTTGGCGCTCGAACCTTCCATCTTCGTTAAATGTCGAAACCTTTCGAACATTGCTTGAAACAGTCGTACTATATAGATCAGAATCTTGGACATTATCTTCTCGTCTTGAAAGACAACTGGATGGAACATCTACAAATCTACTTAGAAAAATCCAGAACATCATTTGGAGATCCTATGCAACGCTTAACACAATTTTTAAACAACAAAAGCTCAAGCTCAAACAAAATCGATTACAGTTTGCCGGCCACTGTCACCTGAGCGGACAGCGAAATCGTGTCATCCTTACTTCTATGGTATCCTTCTGGAAGTGTCTTCTCACGAAAATTGACTTTCTCAGACGACATAGCTCGGGACTTAGCGTTAGACTTTAGGGTTCTGGGGACAGCAATGCTGGACCGAGCAGTGTGAAAAGGCTGATCATGATGATGATGATGATGAAGGACAAACATCGCGATTGGTACTAGTTTTCTACCCATTACCCGATAGCAAGGCACTCCATCCAAGTTACTTGTACATGATAGGAATAAACGAGCTTTGTTTTATGATAATGGCGAGAATAATCGTCTTCATACAGGAAACTTTCGGCCTTCATTGACCAGACAACATTACTGTTGGTTGAAATTTATAAAGGCTTTCTCCTAAAACAGGTTTTCAGGGAAATAAACTTCTCAAATACAATGTTATCATTCTTTCTAGTAATGATTGTAGTTTCCTTCCTAACCTTATGTTTAAGGTTGTGTGGAAAGGCAGCATCTTGATTATATCATTTTTTCCATTCTAGTTACATTTGCTATCCATTTTAGTTATCTTTACTGCTGGTAATCTTTAAACGATGAGTTTGTTGCGTGTGTGTGTGTGTGTGTGTGTGCTTTTCATTTGGTAAACAACTGTTATATTCCGTGCTAACGGAATAAATACTTAACACCAGGTGGATAATAGAAGAAAGGTTTATTGTACACAACAAGTACAATATGAAATACGGTACAGTGATACACACAGGTCAATCTAGTTAGTGAGTGCCACTAATTGAAAGGTCAGACGTGCTTGCGTCTCCTCTCTCTTTCTGACTCTTAATATTTAACAGTCCCCATGAAGGATGTATGTGACACAAGGCCGAGTTTACCATGGGTTCTTCTCGGCCAAATATATTCCCATAGAACCCGCATAAGCAGGTTCAGGGTCTGTCTACCTCCCCGGACGAAACTTTGCCCTTCGGCAAAGCCTCGTTCGGGTTCCTCTCTGCTCAAGGCAAGAAGTTCGACAGGGAAGAACAGGAGAGAACACTATTCTGTCTCTCACTCTTCCCCTCTGTCTCTCGTAGTCGGTTGACTTTATAGATACTTACTACCTATAGTGTAATCATTCATGGGAGTGACTGGTTATTCCATTATATCAGCATTTTTGTTTATGATTCTGTAGCGCCAGTCTATAGGATTTGATGAAGGGTCGTCTTCTTTAAAACCAAAAGAATTCATTCGCCCCCCCACACACACACACACAGACGCAACGTAGCAAGTCTATCGTTACGCTATCGCTATTTCCATGACAAATGTCCAGATGAGCTCCATTCTTTAATTCCATCAGTCCAGACCTTTAGAGCTAAGCCTCTCTCTCTCTCTCTCTCTCTCTTAGTAAATAACTGTTTATCACTCACGGCCCATTTGTGAATAACCCGTTATGCATTACACCACCCGCACATCAAACCTTACAGCACCTGGTATTCACAAGCGGTCACCTATCTAGGTACTGTTCTGGCTCAACTTTGCTTAACTTCGGAGATCGTGCGAGAACTGGTGTTTCAGTGTGATATGGCCGTAAGTCTATAGTGACTACGACTAAACTGTAAATTAGTATATTGTGGTCGTTGTAAGAATTTTTTATCAACCTTTCCGATTAAATTTCATTTCCGCGAACTAAAAAGTATAAAAAAAAAATAACAAAGAAAAAACTCTTGCTTTTGTAAGAAACCATATATTCCAAATAAGATTTTATTCTTCAAAATACATTTTGAAGAATAAAATATTTTATATCAACTCACACACACTTACATAAAAAAAAATTGTGTTCTCGTGGCCGAATGTCGTTTGTTATTTAAGTGATTAAACCTGCGTTTCGAATCTTACTGTGGTGAATTGGGCAAGTAGTTGAGGTCTAGATAATATCGTTGAAGTGACACTATCTCAGCGTTCGGCATGGTTGGGAGATTCTTAGAAACGACACAAAGGTTTGACTGAAGCCTTGTGAATAGAAATGGGTTGACGAAGCTGTTTGGAAGTCGTCGATGGCTTTATTAGCACGAAATCACAATTCCTTAACAAATGAGCTGATAGACACTCCCAGCCTTGGTTGGCAATCTACAGGTGGTGACTCGACCCAAAAAAAAAAAAAAAAAAAAAAAACACCCATTAGACAAGGCTACTCGTTGGGGTGTGACGGCCCATAAAAAAAAAAAAAAAAAAAAAAAACACACCCAGCAGCCAAGGCTATTCGTGGGTGTGTGATGGCCCGTAAAAAAAAAATACTCAATGGCTAAAATTCTTAATAGTGGAGCAGGAAAATGTAAATTTTGGGTAGAATCGTGCAAATTGTGAGATAAGCATGAAATTTGGCATGAGTGTTCTTGATAGGTCACTTATTTAGAAAAAAGTGCTAGCCACGAAAAAAATTCAACATGGCGGACATTTTTCAAGTTGGCTGCCAAACGGGCCTCTGTTTTATGGTTTTGCTCAAAAACTATAGTGCAAATTGTGATATAAACATGAAATTTGGCATGAGTGTTCCTTGTAAGTCACTCATTCAGGTGAAAGTGCTAGCCACGAAAAAAAAAAAACAATATGGTGGCCGCATTTTCAAGATGACTGCCAAACGGGCCTCTGTTTTATGATTTTGATCTGAAATCATTAAATTAGATGGAAGGACGTGCTAGCTGTGGTGGCCGTCGGATTGTGATCAATGTTGTCGACAGCGGCCGTAGTGAGCAGCCCTTTTCGCAGCACTGGTGGGCACACATCTTCTTCTTCGACATACTGCTTTATCACAGTTTCACCAAGCTTGCCGGATATCTCTAATACCCTGTCATTCGATATGCTTAGTCCATACTCATGGAATTTGTCAATCAACTCTCTTTTTCGTGTCTTGGCGTACACCTTCAATCCAACATAGACAGCAAAACGGGTCTCACGGTCTTTAGAATGTATTTGGGTTGTCAATCCTTCTCTACGTTTTGAGTTGCAGTTGAACTGTTAAAGCTGAGCAATAGCTAAGTCTGACTTCGCTATTCCGTGCCTCAGATGTGATTTTATAGCATTTTTTTTCTCAGGATATCTGCTGTCTTAGATAGATGGAGAGCATTGCTTTTCTGGCGAGCTTCATGGAGCACTGGTCCTGTGTCCGCTTTGAAGGCAAGGAGTACATCACGTCCATTTTTATGGGCTTCAAGTTCCGAAATCCGAGCAAATAGCTGTTCCTTCAACCTGGTAGAGTGGACATTCGGGGAATCAGCCTCAAGCTGTTCCAAGCGAAGCTTGTAGAGTGAGGCTAGGTCAGCAAGCCGAAATACAACTGGTTCTGCTTCCGTGTTGGTGACTTTGCTATCCATGATGTGGATAACTAGTTCTGAAAAGGCCACTGGGTATAAATACTTCCCTGGATCACTACTCTCGGCTTTCTCTAGAGAATTGAGGTACCCTCTTTCAGCATTGTACAACTTTTGGAGACATCGAAGGTGGTACTTAACCTCCAGGGCAACAACGTCTCCGCCACTTAACTTTGCAAGTAGCTTTCCATCGTTCAGGGTTCTGGTACATTGATTGAGGTGTTCATTTAGTCTCTCTGTCATCCCCTCTTGCAGATTCGAAATAATATCTTCTTCTTCACAGAAGAAACATTCCACTTTTGGAATGTCTGCAGATTTTCGTCTCTTCCTTCGAGGTTCATCCGTTGCTCCGGGGGTGCTCGGTACCGCTCTTCTTTGCTGTGCTCTTTCTAACTTGGTGTTGTTGAACAGCAATCGGCAACTCTGATGATATTTAGCTCCATTTCGAACCAGAGTGCTTTCTATACCTTCACCTTCATCAAGCCTTGAAGGTTCAAGTGCTATCGGCATATCATTGATGACATAAAACAATGGTACATTTGTTGCAATATTACTGTATCCAGCATAATCTTGCTTCCTCTGGAATGAACTAAGAGATGAAATGAGGGTTTCTTTGCCTTTTTTCTGCTGACAAAGGCATCATTTGCTTCAATCAGTTTTCGATGTGGAATCTTTATCCATCATTTGACAGGAACGGACGAGGGTTTATCCTTTTACCACCGTTCGCTCACTTTGATGTATGGGATACAACTAGCCCTGCATCTAGCCCGATCGTTTGTATGGGATACAACTGCCCTACACCTAGCCCGATCGTTCATCCAATGCCATTTGAATCCTGTATGATCTGTACACCATCCAGATAACTTCAAAAGCCCCTGTTATCCTTGGCTCAGCTCTCCCGCGTTGACACAAACTGTCCATTCAGGTACGTCTATCTAATATATTAGAGACTTACTAGATAGAATTTGGGATACTAAACTCCATGTTTAGCTGACATTGAACCCCATGCTGAGTTCCACAGCAGTGTCTGTCACCAGTGTGCCCTGGTAGTGAGCGACATACACTCTCGTCATATCTCCTCACATTTCAATTTGAATGTTGTCTCCTGGATGAACTGCCACTACTCGACCTTATGAATTAACTGACCTACTCTGCCTCCTCGATGAACTGCCACTATGAGGCACTGGCTGCCATCTTGAAAAAATGGCCGCCATGTTGAGTTTTCACAATGCCAGAACTTTTATCTGAAAACATACCTGCAAGAAACACTCCTGCCAAATTTCAAGTTTATATCACAATTTGTAATATGGTTTTTGAGTAAAACCATGAAACAGAGGCCCATTTAGCGGCCATCTTCAAAAAAGGCTGCCATATTGAATTTTTTTTCATGGCTACCACTTTCACCTGAATAATCTACCTACAAGGAACACTCCTGCCAAATTTCATGTCTATATCACAATTTGCACTATGATTTTTGAGCAAAATGCATGAAACAGAGGCCCGTTTGGCAGTCATTTTGAAAAATGGCAGCCATATTGGATTTTTTCGTGGCTAGCACTTTTTTCTGAAAAAGTGACCTATCAGGGACAATTATGCCAAATTTCATGCTTATCTCACAATTTGCACGATGGTTTGCATAATCTGCTCCACTATAAATGACAAACAGGGACAACTTATACTTTCTTTTGTATTGTTATTTAATCGAAGTTTGTTTGATAAATTCAACTTTGGCAGAACAAATTAGGTAATTTAATTTAAACAAAATTTGGAAGATATGTTGAGCGAAGACGGAAATAAACATCAATACAGTCAAAAACTAATTGACAAAAGAAATGGTTTCTAAGTCAAAGGATCGCGTATTCTTCCATTTAATAAATTAATACTTTCAAAATAAGTCTTTAACATTTTTCAACCAACGGGTCGCGTTCCCGCCAATAATAAAAAAAATCATGCTTCGTGATCTCTTTCAAGGGTATTTACTGTGAATTAAGACCTTGACGCCAATTCATGAAGTTTATGTGCCCTAGCGAAGAGCTCATCCGAATAAATTATATGAAAGCATTTATAGAAAAGGCAATAGGAAGCTACGTTACGGCGGTGGGAAAGTGACAAAAGCCGAGGTGCCAGGTCAGGACCAATAATATTGCTAATGCTTATTTGATTTTTATCAAGAATCTCTAGATATACAGCAAGAGTACCGGACCATATATGACAGCAATATTCAAGGTATGGACAAAATGGTTAACTTATAAATATGTTAAATAAATTCTGGAGACAAAAATTGTTTAGCACGACACAATGGACCAACTTTCTTAGCAGCAGCTCTAACAATGGATTCAATATAATCTTTCCATCTCATGTCAGCTGAGAATATAAGACCGAGAAGCGCAACAAGTCACTCTCCTGGAGGTTAATGTCAGCCATGCTGATGAGAGACAAGAGAGGTTCTTTCAGGTAGTGAGAAGTTTCGTTTTGAAGACGTTAAAATTAACAAGTCATTCCTTGCCCCAGTTAACAACAGACTAGGTCATTTCTTAGATCTGCTGGCAATATCGAACTGATCAGACTTACTATTGAGACAGGAGTAAATGGATATGTCATCAGCATAGTTATCCAGTTTTTATATATATATATTATTTCAGTTGGGCTGTCTGGGGAGGAAGTGTGGGTTTGTAAACAGTGACTATTACGGCTCATAATTTAAGACTCTTCGATAAATTGAATCGAGTTCTCTCAGTCACTATGTGTTTATCTAAAAATAAATACGCTTAAATTCAACGGCTTAGTTGTAGAATCCCCGACTGACGCCAATTCAGTCAGGTTTCGATCCTAGCTATAGGCAACCGAACGTCTAGCAACACTGATAAGCTGTGATACAGCGAAACAGTCTGTCTGTGGATGACAAGACTATATATATATATATATATATATATATATAAATGGGTATGCTATGAGGAAAGAGTGCTTAGAAAATTTGATACTCACAAAACCGATTGAGAGCAAAAGGGATATAGAAAAACAACGTATAACCTACCTAGCGAGCGTGAGTAAATTGATGGTGGATTAGGGTTTAGGAGTGATAACAAAATGCCAAAATTTATTAAGAGCTACAAAGAACGAGAAATTGTGGAGAGCCATGATCGCCAACGTTCTGAAGGGACACAGCACATTGTACTGAAATTAAAACCCAAATTAAAAAAATTCAAAAGATGATATTGAAATC